CACAAAGTTTAACATCATCCGCATACATGAGTACTCGAGAGTTTGTTAATACTGAAGGCAGATCATTAATAAAGAGTGTGAATAGTAGGGGGCCTAGATGGCTGCCCTGTGGTACTCCAGAAGTAACAGGTGAAGAGAAGGAGTTTTTGAAGAGGACTCTTTGAGACCTAGAACAAAGGTAGCTAGAAATCCATCTCAAAAGATTAGGCGGAAACCCTAAAAGGTCAAGGTTTTGTGCTAAAAGGGAATGGTTGAGTGAGCTTTCATTTAACAAGGGGCTGAAGATGCCAATCTACCTTGGTAAACTGTATGGATACGGCTGACCAGAGTAGCTTTCATGAGAATAGGTTGTTTGGAAAAATTTGGCAAAAAGATCGGCAATTGCCTGATCATTGTTTGATAACGTTTATAAAGTCTTGATTTTAAATTTTTTTGACTGGATAACTCTTTGGTAAACCAAGGAGGCTTTCCAGATCTAACCGGACAAGAAAGTGGGACACAAGAATCAAAAAATGTGTCAAGTACATTGTAAAAAATGTTTGTGCCTTTCATAACGTCAGTGCATAAGGTTGCATAAGTGCATAAGTGCATAATAAGGTTATTTAGCTTCGTAAACTCGGCTTTACGAAAGCAGCGGGCACGTTCAGATAGCCTATCCATTCGATCCAATACAGTAGAGCCAATGTCGACTGACACTTCGAATGTAGGATGGTAGGAGTCTTCAGGTATACTGAGCGGAAGGGCTACGGTAACGCTATGGTCGGATCCGAGACAAAGCACAGATCAAGCAATCGACCCAAGGAATTTTTCACATGGTTGACTTGAGACAGGGATAGGTCTTGCAAGCCGTCGATAAAGTCATGTCGTGACATGGGCACAAGGTTATTAGACTCGTTTACCGAAGACCAAACAGTACCTGGCAAATTTAAATCACCAAGAACTATCATATGGTCTTTATCTGATAGCAAGGAAGAAACAGTTTTTAAAGCGGACAGGTGATGCTCGTATATTAAGATATCCGAGGAAGGTGGAATATACGAGCAAGTAATGACAATCGAAAAGCCTGGGAGAATCAGTTTTACGCACAGGAATTCCAGGTCTTGTTGAACCTGGGCCATGAAATGTTCCGACGTGAAGTTTGACTCCACTACAATAAGGACGCCACCTCCACGTCGAGACGAACGGTCATTTCTAAAAATTGTGTACCGAGCTGCCAAAACTTCGGAACTAAGGATGTCCGGCTTTAAACAGGGTTCGGTGAACACAATAACGTGGGATGAGAATGCGAGACTCTCAAGGAAAAGAGTGCTGAGCTTACTACGCAAGCCTCTAGCATTCTGGTAGGTAACTACAAGAGAGGAAGTTAGTTTTTTGTATGGGTGGAAGTAGAGGTGGAAGATGAGGATGGAGATGGAGCACTGGTCTGAATGCTAGGAAGAGTAATGGGGGGCCTATTCTTTTTCTTAGCCTTAAACTCCTGTAACGAACCATGGATCCCATGGTTCGTCACAAGCAGACGACGTAGCCAACGCTACTCCCAGGTGAAGCGATCAACACCCAGCAAAAATGCAAACTCAGCACACGCCAAAAGAAAGGAGACCAGCACAAGGGGCTTACGCAATAAGTACCTAAAATAATATTAAATAAATAAATATTCCTAACAATATATGTAAGATAATTTTATATTATCAGTGTTTTATTGAGATTGTACACAAGTAGGATATATGAATGTATAATGTTTAAAGGTTTTGATTATATGTAATTAACAGAACTGCTGATTTTGACGACTTTAGAAACAACTTATTCAACTTTACTTTCTGACATCTGCCGACCAACTCCACTACTGACATACCAACGACGACGACTTTGAGATGGACCAATCCTTGGTGGTGGGCGATCAGAGTGAGGACTATCGACTCACGCCAATACTACCACTTTACATTCGGCCATCCTCAAAACATCTGTCCCAGATGTCTCCTCCTCTTCACTCTGCTCTTCATTTTCTTCCTCGCAGTAAGCATAGCGCCACAGCTTCATAAAGTCAGCGCTTGTAGAGGTCTGTAGTACACCCTCAAATTCAGCTGCCTTCTTAACATCATATCTGCCGTTCCGTTTCACTCGAATGACTTCATACGGGCCGATATATTTGTTGGATAACTTCCTTCCAGTTATAAACTGCGTCACCTTAATGGCTACTAGGTCGCCTAGCTGATAACCATGATGCCCCTTTCTCTTCTTGTCGTGACTCTCCTTGTAAGCAGCTTGGGCTTTTTCGATTTGGCGCCTGGTTTCTTGCCAAATTTCCTTACGTTCTTCTTGCAGGTTCGACAGCATCTCCTCTTGAAGGATCCTCAGAAGCTCAGCACTGGAGTTGTTTCTCATACGTACACCAAACATGACTTCGAACGGCGTGTATCTAGTTGATGCATGTATGTGAGAGTTTATGGCCTGTTGCACCTGCGATGTGTATTTATACCATTTTGCTGGTTCCGCTGCTGACATTTTTGAGAGTACTGAAATGATAACCCTGTTAACCCGTTCAATCTGTCCGTTACCCCTTGGTACGCCAGCTGTTGTTTCGACGTGATCAATATTGTTCGTTGCGCAAAATTCCTTGAATGAATGCGATGTGAACGCCGCTCCCTTATCGCTGATAATTCTCTGCGGGCTGCCAAATATTGAAACCCATGATTCCAGGTGTTTGATAGCTTCTTCCGCATTTGTCGACTTTGTAGGAAATAGCCAAGTATATTTTGAAAAACCATCTACGACAGCAAATATATACTTGTAGTTCTTCGATGTATTGTCCAATGAACCCAAATGATCCACATGCAACGTTGAGAGGGGTGTGTCGCCTTTGTCGATAGCGTGCAAATAATCCTCTTGTTTCCCCAATTTCTGATTATGGGTGATACACTCGATACAATTGGAAATTACCTGCTTAGTTTTCTTCTCCAAGTGTGGTATATGAAAGTCCTGCTGAATTGCGTGAATTGTTTTCTGCGCTCCCATGTGGCCAAAATTGTGTGAGTTTGTTATTATCTCCTTTTCCATACATTTTGGTACTGCCAACAGATCTTGGCCCTTTACCTGCTTAAAGATAAGGTTATTTCTGAGAACATAATCTGCATAGGGTCTCTGCTTTAGAATTTCGCTAACTGCCATTAAGTGTTCATCACTCTGTTGTGCTCTTTTGATCCGTGCATTAACTTCGGAAGTCACGATCATCACCGGAAAACGACTCAGGCTGTCAACATGCTGCATTCTGCTTCCAGCACGATGCTCTGCTTTAAAGGTGAAATCTTGCAAGTACATCAGCCACGGCGTTACTTCTCGGGGAATATCTCTTTTGGAGATCGTTTGTTTAAAAGCCGCACAATCTGTTACCAAGTCGAACTCTATTCCTAACAGGTAATGGCGGAGTCTCTTTGTTGCTAGGTATGCTGCCTTTACCTCAAGTACATAGCTGGTAAGTTTTTCCTCTTGTGGTGTTGTTTTCTTACTCCAGTAGAAAACGGGTGCCATTTACCATCGTGCTGCTGCAGCAATGTTCCACCAAAGCCATGTTTTGATGCATCCACATGCAACTGTGTTTTGGCGCTTTGACTCCAAATCTTCAATCTTCTATTAGTGCTGCTTTTAGTTGTTCTACTGCTTGTTTTTGTGCTCCTTCTATCTTAAAAACGGCATCTTTCTTCAGCAGTTCCGTTAATGGCTTGGCAATAAAAGCGTAGTCTTTTACGAATTTGCGAAAATAGCCAGTAAGTCCAAGAAACGCCTGAATACCTCTGATATTAATTGGCATCGGAAATTTTTTTACAGCTTTTACCTTTTCTTTCCCAGGCCATATCTTCCCATTTTCTATCTCGTAACCAAGGAAAGTGATACGCTCCTTCAAAAATTGACATTTTGACCATTTTATGTCGAGTCCATACTGCTGCGCCTGTTTCAATACGCGCTGGATGTTGCTTAGACACTTTTCGGCTGTTCGCCCAAAAACAACTATGTCGTCGATATACATTTCCATAATACCTTCATTTATCAGCTGTTGGAAAATATATGTGACAAACCTTACGAATACTGCAGGCGAATTACAATAGCCAAATGGAGCTCTATTAAATTCAGACAGTCCCTCTTTTGTCACGAAAGCTGTATATTTGCGGCTGGGCTCATCGATTTCGACATGAAAAAATCCATTCCTCAAGTCGAAGACAGAAAAATATTTCGCGCCTTGCATCTTATCGAGAACTTCGTCTATAAGCGGGACCGGAAATCGATCTTTCAGTACCATCGTATTTAAGACACGGTAGTCTATGCATAGCCTCAACGTTTTATCTTTCTTTTTGGTTAAAACAACTTTACTCGCCACGTCAGAGTAGGATTCTCGTATAATGCCCTGTTCCAACCATTCCTCTACTTGGTTGCGAATTATCTCTCTCTGCTGCTGCATATCGACTTGGTTGCTCTCTGAATGCCATATTCTTACAATTAGGGATAATTGTCATCTTTATAGGACAGGTTCGCTCAACTTTAGACGGCTTGTAATTATCAATTAACTGCTTGACTGCTGCTTGGTATTTTTGAGGAACGTCTAATTCCATGTCCTGACTTACCACATTGAAAACATTATGATCAGCCTCTGCCTCAACGATGCTATCTCCTTCTGTAAAAGCATACTTTCCATTTTCCAAAACAACAATACATTTTTTGAGAAAGTCGTAGCCAATAATTATGTTAACATTGAGTTTTGTATCGGGAACGATGAGAAATTTATGTTCCGTACGAATTCCATCAACCAGAACTTGCACGTCTAACGCACCCAGCACAGATGTGACAATGTTTCCTAGGCCGTACAATTTAGCAAAACTTTTCTGCAGTGGATATTCAGCAAATTTCTCCTTGTATATTTTCATTCGCATAAGAGACACGTCAGCTCCTGTATCGACTAGACATGACATAGTTTTATTATTGATGAACAGCACCTTTTCCTTGTTCGCTGATTATATTGACGCTTGGTTTTAAGCCCAGACAATCACGGGATGTATGTCCACTGCCGTTGCATTTAAAGCACTTAGTATCTTCCTTGCATTCGGCTCTCATATGTTGCGTTGATCCACAGTTGAAACAATGCCTTTGATTCTGGTCAAATCGTTTTCCCAGAGTTCCTGCTTTACCGACGTCATACTTTTTCGCTGCTTGTTTGCGGTCCACTGCTGATTTTGTCATAATTTCGATTGTTTCGAATCGGCTTCGTAGTTCCTTGAATGTTGAAGCACTGTATAAGGGATATTTTAGATCGTCACGCAGCTTTACTCCCTCGGCTATATAACGGATCACCGACTCATCATCTACACATCCAAGAGCAGCTATCTTTCGCATATTTAAGACGTATTCGTGAAAATTCTCGTTTTCGTGTTTCTTTCGTTCGCTTAGCTGCTTATGTACCTCAGCGCTGGTCAGGGTCTTGTCAAATTCATCCAACAGCAATCCAATCAACGTATGATAATCCGACACAGTGGTGGTCTCCAGGAATAACTTTGCTGTTCCCTTAATTTTTATACGAGCGTTCACATATTTCTGCTTGTCAGTCAATTCGTAGGCGTCGGCATTTTCATCAAAACATTTTATCCACTGCTGAATTGGAATTGACACTCCATCAAACTCAGGAACAACCTTAGAAAAGCTCTCGATTGGGATATTATTTTTACTGGAATCGTTTTGTGTAATTTTTGTTGCCAGCAGTTTGAGCACCTCACTCAATTCGTTGTTGTTGCTCATCTCCGCGCTGATATTTGAGTATTTTGCGTCGTGGTGGATCGTGACTTCTGTTCTTGCGCCACGAAGCCCAACATGTTGTTCGCTCTCTGTTTTTTTTTCTGGTTCTTCTATTTCGTCAAATGGGACAAAAAAAGTTTTGTTTATGTCCATTTTGACAGCTTCTCCTGTTTTCGCCTCTGGTGTCTTCTCTTCGTCCGTTTTTACCCTTCCTTCATCAGCCTTTATTTTTTCTTTATTCTGCTGTCCTCTTTGTTGCTTCTCATTTGGTCCGCTTTGCTTTTTGTTCTTTTTAGCTGAACGCATCATCATTATCGTTGTGTGCGTAATCACATGTATACTTTCGTAGGTTGAGCCCCCATGTAAGATAATTTTATATTATCAGTGTTTTATTGAGTATTGTACACAAGTAGGATATATGAATGTATAATGTTTAAAGGTTTTGATTATATGTAATTAACAGAACTGCTGATTTTGACGACTTTAGAAACAACTTATTCAACTTTACTTTCTGACATCTGCCGACCAACTCCACTACTGACATACCAACGACGACGACTTTGAGATGGACCAATCCTTGGTGGTGGGCGATCAGAATGAGGACTATCGACTCACGCCAATACTACCACTTTACATATATATTCCCGAAGTGCCAACGAAATTCCTTTCCCACGGTACCGGTGCACACCGATCACCTTACCTGGGACATTGGACACTTGTTGGGAAGCGATTGCTTAGGTAACCCTCGATTACCGGGCAAAACCCCCACATGCGCAAGCCAGTCAGCAGTCTCCGACTCTCCTTACCGGGGATATTGGACACTGACTGCAGGGCTAATGATTAGGTAACCTTCTGTTACCGATCAGCCCGTCTGCCCGCGCAGACTATAATTCGGCAATATATATTTATGTAAGAACCCTTCCCACATTCTGGAGTAGAAATAAGATATCTGTAAGACATTCATGGGAATATCGAAGGCCGGCCGATCTATAAAAGGCACGGCCTTGCATGAAGAAAAGGGCAGTCCACCAGCCATCGTCGGAGGCAGTCCACCAGCCATCGTAGAGAGTCAGTCAAATCACCATCCGCGTCGTAGTACAAGTAAACATAACATAACCGGGTAGAATAATCATACGGAAGAATACGGAAGAATAAAGAAAACCATTCAAATTAAAAGAACCAAAAGTGTTGTGATTTCTATTTCAGTTTTCTGGCAAAGTTCCTGGTTTTCCCGATAAAGTCCTCGTGAGTTATAAATATCTTGTAATTCAGGACCCTGGACAGGCTGATGCATACCTCAGCCTGAAATAGGACATTACAAGTGGCGCCCGAGCAGGGACTTTAAAGGATTTTTCGTGGAAACTTCAAGAAAACCGAAATCAGGGACTTCGTGGATTAAAGACCCACTGCCATCAAAAAGAAAATTGAATCAATAACAAGTCCGCGCACTTACATAATCCGGGCGCGAAAACAAACGCGAAAGTATACGCAGTGCCGATCCTAAAAGTGCCGTTTAACAGTGACTTTTTGCCAAAAATCAACAGAAATCAACATGGAACATCACGACGATGAACAACCAGAGGTGGCATACCCTGCGGGACACTTTTCCAACCCAGGGGTCAGCACCGGCTGGATCCACAAACTCCGTCGGGACGAACTAGAAGTCCTCGCCGAAGAATTCGGATTCGGCAGCGAAGGAACGGTCGATGAACGCCGAAGAAAATTTGCCGCTCTAGTCGCCGGGCCACTCGCGCAAGGAGCCTGGGTCCGCATAGGAGAGTTCGAGAGGCACTATGCCAAGCCAGCCTCACGCTCTCGTTCCAAGTCACCACTGCCCACTACTCCTGGACCATCCGACACTCGCCAAATGGATCCTAAGACCGGACTACGAGTCCCCGCAGCCACCGAATACCGCACTCCTGCCGCCCCGTTTCCAAGGCCCCTAGCTACAGAGACCCACCCAGCACCCGTACCGAGGGTCTTGCCAGCGATCGACCGACCCATGGAAGGGCACCACTACAACCACGCTGCACCAATGGCGGAACGCATCCGAAAGTGGGGAATCCAGTTTGACGGCCAAGATGACCCTCTATCATTCATCGAACTGCTCGAAGAACGCGCGCTCTCGTATGGGGTGGCCGAACTTCTCACAGACCGTGCCAGTCGTTGGTTCCGCACCAGCCGCCTACAAAGTTCCTCATAGGAAAATTTCCGCCAGGAATTCTTAACGTTCTTCTTGCCACCACGGTATTTTGAACAATTGGAAGACCGGATCCGAGCCCGCAAGCAAGTGGCTGCAATTCGCTGGGTACGACGCAACCAAGGAGCTAACCAGGATCTACGACAACGCCCTCCCAGCCTACCAGATGTATGTGCGGCGATACGAACTACAAAGCTTAGCACAGCTCACAATGTTGGCCACCGAGTTCGAGAGCATCCGAGAGCGGACCATCCCGACCACTTTCGCACCCCCGCGGAACACTCCAAGATACGCAAGGCCGGCTTCAGAGCAGAGGAATTGCGACTCGCACCAGCCGCCATTTCTGAGTCCCCATTGGGAATCGACAGACACACCAGGGAGACCACCAGCTCATCCAAACAGTACGGCGAATCCCGAAGCAGCCCATCACATGATCACGACCCCCATCATCAACCCACGCACAGCCTGTCGCCGGTGTGGTGAAGCAGGGCATGCGGCATACGAATGCCAAAATCCCTCGATCCTGTTCTGCTGGGAATGTGGCAAGCGCGGCACCCGGACCATCGATTGCTGTCGCCAGAACACGTCGGGAAACGACTCGCGTCCTCGACTGACACGGGATCAGCCGGGAACGACGTCTGCCCCGACCCACGAATAAAAACCCCGCTACACATGAACGAGAACCGGATAGTGGCAATGGTAACCATAGGAGGACAGGCAACGGAAGCCACCGTCGACACAGGGGCATCCCGAAGCTTTATCAGTGCAAACCTCGCCCGACAACTGAGCAACAACACCAACCTACAAGATGCATGCGTCCGCATACGCCTGGCCGACGGCTCGGTCAGAGAGATCACCCAGATTCTACTGGCGCACATCAGACTGGATCAAAGAGAAGTTCAAATACCCCTCCTGGTCCTACCAAACATGTTGGATCAAGTTATCGTCGGCATGGACTTCCTATGCGCCATTGAAACAACGATCCAGTGCGGTACCACACTTCTACAATTACGAGATCAGTGCCACACACCACATATCCACACCGTTCCGACCAACAGAGTACAAGGCAACGAACCCCGACACCAGAAACTGAAGCCAACGGCGGCCATCATACGTCCTTAACCTATCCCAACGATTTCAAAACCCAGCAACGCCAACATGACACCCATACAAACCCCAGCGAACACAAGACCACGACCTACCCCAACGAATAAAACGACCCAGATCGCCACAAAGAACACGAAAACCAGCCCAGCCCCAGCAGAGGCAAAGCGCCGGCCCACGAACATGAAGCCGAAACCAACAACACGAAACCACAATCAAGCAAACGGGAAAACGAGTCCCACGGTCACTACGGAGCAACCGCGTCCTAGGCCAACCACAGGGGACACATACCCCAAAGAAACTACGAGAATCTCACCCACGAGACAAGCACTAACGCATTGGAACCCGGCGCTCGACACAGGAAGCCCAGGTCCAAGTCCAGCAACAGAGCATGTAAGTACCCTCTCCTCCCAGGAGAAAGTGAACATAGAAACACCCTCAGAGACGACAATCAGCCCTGAACCAAGACAACAACATCGACACCGACAACGGCAGCAACAGATCAACAGCACAGCAACAAGGAAAACAGCCACGCTGACCCCACCCTGGTCGGGGCCCATAATTGACCTGATATCCACAGAGCCCCTCAACGCGGGCCCGGAAACCAGTACGATGGCCCCACGATACACCGACCGCAGCCCTGTCGTACCCACGGCCGACGCCACACCGATCCTCGCTCACACAATGGAGTACCTTCCGCGTACTGACATGATTTTTAGCGTCATGCACCGAGCCATGCCTAGAGCCATGTCCGAGATCTTCGTCGCCCATACAAGTCATTGTTGTGATACCAGAGGCGTCATCGCGACTCACCTGTTCACGTACCAGTCTGGCTGTAGTATAACACGAGTACTACACCCGGCGTACCAAAACATCGTACCCATGGTCAACACCACACCCATCGTCGCCCACATAAGCGACTACCAACGGAGGATCGAAACGCACAGCTCCTTCGACACAACCCCTTTTACCCGAAGACCCCAGCCAGCCATTTGATTCCGAAGCCGCCGATCGAACCGAACATGAGCTCGAACCAGTCCCGGAACCGTGGCCGCCGGACTTGGCCCCGCAGATCCAAACATTCGACAGACCCATCCTACCGAAAGACCCGAATCAAACGTTTGACCCCGGAGCCACCGAACCCACGGAAGACGACCCAGAACTACCGACGGATCCTTGGCCACCCGACATAGCACCGCAGATTCGAGAATGCCTGGACAAATAACTACCAAAGAAAACTGCCGAGAAAACCATCGTCATATGGGAAATTCGACCCACCGACCCACCAAGCACCAACTACACCAACTACAAAGCACCCAGAACAGCAGAAAGGCCACGATCACAACAGCAGTAGAAAATATAACGTTACCGACGCCACGCTAAAGTGACGAGATTAACAGCGACGAATCCGGAGACTCGGCACAAGCCAATGGATCCCATGGTTCGTCACAAGCAGACGACGTAGCCAACGCTACTCCCAGGTGAAGCGATCAACACCCAGCAAAAATGCAAACTCAGCACACGCCAAAAGAAAGGAGACCAGCACAAGGGGCTTACGAAATAAGTACCTAAAATAATATTAAATAAATAAATATTCCTAACAATATATATTCCCGAAGTGCCAACGAAATTCCTTTCCCACGGTACCGGTGCACACCGATCACCTTACCTGGGACATTGGACACTTGTTGGGAGGCGATTGCTTAGGTAACCCTCGATTACCGGGCAAAACCCCCACATGCGCAAGCCAGTCAGCAGTCTCCGACTCTCCTTACCGGGGATATTGGACACTGACTGCAGGGCTAATGATTAGGTAACCTTCTGTTACCGATCAGCCCGTCTGCACGCGCAGACTATAATTCGGCAATATATATTTATGTAAGAACCCTTCCCACATTCTGGAGTAGAAATAAGATATCTGTAAGACATTCATGGGAAAATCGAAGGCCGGCCGATCTATAAAAGGCACTGCCTTGCTTGAAGAAAAGGGCAGTCCACCAGCCATCGTCGGAGGCAGTCCACCAGCCATCGTAGAGAGTCAGTCAAATCACCATCCGCGTCGTAGTACAAGTAAACATAACATAACCGGGTAGAATAATCATACGGAAGAATACGGAAGAATAAAGAAAACCATTCAAATTAAAAGAACCAAAAGTGTTGTGATTTCTATTTCAGTTTTCTGGCAAAGTTCCTGGTTTTCCCGATAAAGTCCTCGTGAATTATAAATATCTTGTAATTCAGGACCCTGGACAGGCTGATGCATACC